CCTATTCAAACTTATTAAGAGGTTCACCTAATATAAAGCGTCCTTTTCCAGCAAGTTTTCACCCATATGTACTCAATGTTTTTTGTGCTTAATTGCTGAATTGCTCAATTTTAAGGACACAACAGGAATTTCAAGGAGCATATTTGTAATTGGTCTTTCGAGGATTGATTAATCTGAACTTGATTTTGCACCGGAGCCTTTCAAAGATCTAGTAAGGCACACGTGAGTCCGGAGCATGCTCTGGTACTCAACACATCAGTGAGTCATGGATAGAGAGTTTTGTAGGAGCCTGGAAACACTTCCATCCCACCTATCACCTCCCTTCAAAATCTGCAAAAATGTACATTAAACCTTCCCACTGTGTCTGATCACTGTCTTCATTTCCACACAATAAACAATTCTCATCATCTCCCTTGTGGTGCATTTGCTGGCTATCCATGTCCTCTGGTTGTAAAGTCTTCTGCCAGTGGACTGACTTTCCCAGACTATTCTGTCCTCTGGAACATACAATTATATGATCCACAAAGGGAACCTCAATCACATGGGACTCAATAATTGCCTGTTTCCCATTTACAGTATTATACTTACTCCTTGGGCAACAAAGATTTCATAGACAAAACATATGCCGATGACCGTTATTCCTTGTTCCTTGCATAAAGTTGCAACAGCAACTAATATTACAGTGACCACAATAGGAGCCCACACTGAGGAAGAAAAAAATAACTGTTATTTTGTCTAGTACAATCCACACTGCTCCCCGACAAAGTGCAGCTCTTCCATGAAAACCATTATTACAAATACAAAAAAAAGCAAGAAAGACTTGTATTTATCACACCTTTTACAACTACAAAAGTCCCCAAAGTAGCTTATAGCCAATTAAGCATAGTCACAGTTGTAAAGTCAGAAATGTGACAAAAAAAGGGACATAGCAAGCTTCTGCAACCAACAAGATATTGCCCAGAGAATCTATTTTAAGGCACTGATTGATGGACAAATATTGACAAAGGCAAAGGGAACTCTATCTTCTGAGTGAGATACTAAACTCTGGCTGGCCTCTGAGGTGAATTATAAACTCCTACAGGAGCATAAGAACAGGGATGTTTAGAGTGTTGGCCAATATTTATCATTCTACCAACATGCAAAAACAGATTCACTTCGTCTTTCTTTTACTCGATCACGGGATGGAGGCAAACATTTTGACTGCACTTTCCCAACTGCATTTGAGAAGGTGGCAGTGAGAGATCTCCTTCACCTACTGTAGCTCATTTGTGATACAGCATTGATAGCTAATTCCAGAATTTGATCTAACAACAGACAGTAAACAGCAACAGTTCTAAACCAGGGTGGCATGGGGTCTTCAAGAGATTTACAGGCACCTTGTCCTTTTAGGTAGCAGAGACCAAGGGTTTGGAAGATGCTGTCAAACCACCTTGGGTGAATTGAATTGTATCTTGTAACTGGCACACACTGCTGCCACTATGCGTTAGTGAGGCTGAACATTTAAGGTGATGGAGGAGGTGCAGATCAAACTGGTTGCTTGGTCCTGCATTCTACTGTCTGCCTTGAGGATTGTTGGAGCTGCACTCATCCAAGCAAGTGGAAAGTATTGTGTCACACTCCTGACTTGCACCTTGTGGTTAGTCAAGAGGCTTTGAGGAGTAAGGTGGTAAATTACCCACCACAGAATTCTGAGCCTGTTACCTGTTCTTGTAAGCATAGTATTAAGAAATTGGCCCAGTACAGCTCTTGATCAATGGTAATGTTGATAGTGAGGGATTCAGCAACAGTATTGCCTTTGACTGACACAGAGATAGTTAGATTCTCTTTTGTTGGAGACAGTCATTACTGGCGCTTTTGCAGTGTAACTTTCATTTGCCATTTATCAGCCCAAACCTGAATGTTGCTCAGTCTTGCTGCATGCAGGCACTTACTGTTTTAGAATTGGAACAGTTGGAAATGTGACCGAACACTGCACAATATCAATTAATATCCTTACTACCATTAACCTGATGAAGGAAAGGTCATTGATAATGTAACTGAAGCTGGTTGGATTGAGAAGTCTTCACTAAGGAACTCCTACAGTGACGTCTTGGGGTTGAGATAATTGGTTTCCAGCAGGCATAACCATTTTCCTTTTGTACTGGTACTGGTATGATTCCAACCAGCACAGAATTTTCCCTAATTCCCTTTGACTATAATTTGCTAGGGATCAAAAAAAGCAATTGGATAAATCCTTTACAAAGAACTGCAGGACTGCAAGGAGAGCGGGACTTATCAGCCAACCTTACCATGGAGCCAGCATAGACACCATGTGTCTATGTTGTATCATGAATGTCAGTATAGTGGTAATATCGCTGTACTAGTCATCCAGAGGCCCAAGTTAATGCCCTGAGACCCCTGGCTTAAATTCCACCACCTGTTAAATCCAATTATTACATCTGGAATTCAGTGACAGTGATTGCTATCATTGACTGCTGCAAAAATCCTTATGGTTCATTAAGGCCTCTTAGGAAGGAAATTTACCATCATTACCCAGCTGACGTACACATGACTCCAGACCCACAACAATGTGGTTGGTTCTTAACTGCCCTCAAATGGTCTAGTAAGCACTCAGTTTGAGGCCAATTAAGAATGGAACTTATCAGCAAAGAAGCCAAGAACTATGGTCATTCCAACAGCTTGACATAGAAAAGATAACTCAAAACAGATTTTTTGTCAAGTTCGTGTTGGGCATTCATGTGGTGAAAATTTAAGATTGAAAATGAACAAGAGAGAATCAATTTTAAGAATGAATAAAAAAAAAAGCCAACATTAAAACAAGTAGTCCGGAATTTGTCCAAGAGAGTAAATGCAATATTTTAAGTCTTTCAAGCAGCTGCTTGCGGTCATGAGATGGTCACTGAATAACATGAATAAAACTTCGCTCATATTCCAGATACACGGACTTTGGCAGCTATTACAGAAAACCATAACACATTACCGATGGAGTTGTTGGGACCTTTAGACTTGGTGTACGATAAAAACGCAGCCAGGAAGAAAATGGAGGACAAAAGCTCAGCCCGACCTACAACTCCGGTAACCTGCAGCATAAACAGAAAGAGACAGATGTAAATCTCTATGCAAGACCAGCATTTAATTCTTTACTTGGATCACATAGCACACAAACAGGTCGTTCCATCCAAACAGACCACGTCAGTACTTACACACCACACTCTTCACATTCTTCTTCATTCAACAGGACAAGCTTCCATTCCCTTCTCTCTCATATACTTGTCTCATAATCCCTTGCATGAATCTATAGAATTTACTTTAATGCTGTGTGTTGAGGGGTCCAAATTCTCACTGTCTGTGTAAAGAGAAATCTCCTGGGATTTCTGGATGACTATCCTATATTGATGGCCTTCAGTTAAGCTCCTCCCTACAAGAAGAAATATTCTCTCTGTAACCACTCTATCAAACCCTTTCTCAATTTTGAAGACCTCTATTAGGTCATCCCTTAACCTCCTGGCTTCAAAAGAAAGGAAACCCAACTGTCAACCCATTCCTGAAATGTGCACTCTTGCATTTCTGGCACCATTCTTGTGAATCTTTTACGCATGCTCTTCAGTACCTCTAAATACTTTTCAGAGTATGGCAAACAGAACTGCATGTAGTACTCCTAGCTAAGGTCTAAACAAGGTTAGACACAGCTTTAGCATGTTGTCCTCAATTTCACCTTCACCTGTTTAAAAATAAAACCCCAGTGTCAATTTGCTTGTTTATTTTAGGCCTCAATAACCTGTAGTACAGCTTTTAGTGGTTGATGTACCTGTATTCCAAGATCCTTTTGATGCCTGAAGCAACTTGGACTCATGGCTTCCAAGTGACACACCACTGCCAACCCCTTCCCCCATGTTCTTTCTACCAAAATATATGACCTTGCATTATCTGAAGTTAACTCTACTTCCAGACTACTTGCCCATTCTACAGCTTTATCGCCTTCTATCATTTGTTGCAGTCCCCCTCAATATTGACTATGTGCCCAAACTGGTGTCATCTGCTAAATTAAAGTGGTTCTGATTCCAAAATCCAAATCCCGAATGAAACTGTGAATAACAGCAGTCCTTGTGGAACAATGCTACCCATTTATTGTCGTTGTGAATAGCTTCCAGTTACTTCTACTCTCTGTTTTATGTCACGTAACCAGTTCGCAGTCCTCCCTTCCACTTGTCCCCTGTCTAAGCATTCTCTATTCTTAAAAAATTTTCGGATATGTTGCTAAATTTTCAAATGCCGAAGTGGCTTTTACAAAAAAATAATCAGTTGTATTCAATTCAATCCCTGTCCTAAGCACCTTCCACTCAAAGATTAGGAGTGCTTTCTAAAATACCTTCAGTGATTTGAGAGATATCTGTGCTAAGGAATAAAGTCAGTTCAGCGACTAACTAGGTGAGGTGCAAATGCACAGCAAAACTTCCTATGCTCTGCCTAACCATGTGCTATCACCTTTAATCCCAGAAGACCACCTTCTTCTTCAACAGTGTGCTGCTGCCCTTTCCACAGGTGTCTTCCTGAGTCAGGTGGTTAAGGGTTCAAATCCCAACCTAGAACCTTAAACACAAAATCTAGGCTGACATTCCACTGCTGCTACTGAGGGGGTGCTCCACTACTGAAGGTGTCATCTTTATGAGATGATTAAAAAAAAGACAGGCTCTGTTAAACCTCTATCACTCATGGGATTTAGATGCTACTGGTAGGTCTGATATTTATTGTCCTGCCTCAACCGCCCCAACAAAGACTACATCAAATTGGTGACTTGAACCACTGTAGTCCTCATGTGTAGATACAACTACAGTGCTATTTGCAAGAGAGTTCCTGAATTTTGACCCCAAAACAACACAGGAAGTGATTTTTTTTATTTATTCAAGGAATGACGGCATCACTGGCCCTTGCCCATCCCTAATTATCCAGAGGGCAGTTGAGAGTCAACCACATCACTGTGGGTCTGGATTCATATATAGGGCAGACCAGGTGAGGATGGCACATTTCCCACCCTAAAGGACATTAGTGGTCCAGATAGGCTTTTTATGACAATCAACAATGATTATGTGGCTGCAATCAGACTAACCTTTTTAATTCCAGAATTTAAAAAAAATTGAATTCAGAGTTCATCTGCCGTGGTGGAATCTGAACCCATATCGCCCCCAGAACATTAGCCTGGGGTTCTGGATTACTAGTCAGTGACATTACCACTACAACACTGCTTCCCCTGCATCCCTAACTGACAACATCCAACCTGGAAAATCAGTCCAAATGTAGTAAATGGTATCTCAGACAGAATGGCCTTGCCCCTAAATGAGTTCCTGGACCCACTGAGACAGGACATATTAATATTGTTTGATGAGACACTTAACCAAGATTCAGTGCCCAATTTCATGGCCAAGAACTTCCAGATGATGAGAAGCACAGATGAGTCACCAGCTCAATATTGAAGTAAGATTGTCTTCATGCTTTATGGTGGATAGTGAAATCTTTTCCAGTCAAAATTATCACAGTCTGAATCCATTTCTGTTCTCATTCCTCAGGTGCTGTGAGATACTTTGATATTTGTATCTCACTTTGTATCCATGAAGAATTCAGTCTGCTGATGCATAAATCTCAAACTGATGTAGGGAGAGAAAGAATTGCTTTCACTTCGTTAGCTCAAAATGCACTCAAAATTCAATGACAAAACTGGTGGGCTTATCACCAATGACACAAGCTGGAGAACACAGCATTCAACATTAGTTGCCAACACATTGGGTATAATAGGATCAAATTTAATGTTTCTAAATATCTGTACTCAAATTATTTTGGATCAGAAATTTGGCTAGCTGTCAGAAGACGGGGTGGTGGTTGATGGGAAATGTTCATCATGGAGTTCAATTACTAGTGATGTACCTCAAGGATCTGTTTTGGGGCCACTGCTGTTTGTCATTTTTATAAATGACCTGGATGAGGGCGTAGAAGGACGGGTTAGTAAATTTGCGGATGACACCAAAGTCGGTGGAGTTGCGGATAGTGCGGAAGGATGTTGCAGGTTACAGAAGGACATAGGTAAGCTGCAGAGCTGGGCTGAGAGGTGGCAAATGGAGTTTAATGTGGAAAAGTGAGAGGTGATTCACTTTGGAAGGAGTAACAGGAATACAGAGTACTGGGCTAATGGTAAGATTCTTGGTAGTGTGGATGAGCAGAGAGATCTCGGTGGCCATGTGCATAGATCCCTGAAAGTTGCCACCCAGGTTGATAGGGTTGTTAAGAAGGCGTACGGTGTGTTAGGTTTTATTGGTAGAGGGATTGAGTTTCGGAGCCATGAGGTCATGTTGCAGCTGTACAAAACTCTGGTGCGGCCGCACTTGGAGTATTGCGTACAGTTCTGGTCACCGCATTATAGGAAGGATGTGGAAGCATTGGAAAGGGTGCAGAGGAGATTTACCAGGATGTTGCCTGGTATGGAGGGAAGGTCTTATGAGGAAAGGCTGAGGGACTTGAGGCTGTTTTCGTTAGAGAGAAGACGGTTAAGAGGTGACTTAATAGAGACATACAAGATGATCAGAGGATTAGATAGGGTGGACAGTGGGAGCCTTTTTCCTCGGATGGTGGTGGCTAGCACGAGGGGACATAGCTTTAAATTGAGGGGTGATAGATATAGAACAGATGTCAGAGGTAGGTTCTTTACTCAGAGAGTAGTAAGGGCGTGGACTGCCCTGCCTGCAAAAGTAGTAGACTCGCCAACTTTAAGGGCATTTAAATGGTCATTGGATAAACATATGGATGATAATGGAATAGTTTAGGTTAGATGGACTTCAGATTGGTTTCACAGGTCGGCGCAACATCGAGGGCCGAAGGGCCTGAATGCGCTGTAATGTTCTATGTTCTATAATGTACTAATAATCTCAAGTGATGTATGTTCAACTTCTTATGTTTGCATTTCTAGGCATTCTCACTTTCCTGCATTCTTCAAATAAAATCCCTTTGGGAGGATTTGAGCTGTCAGCTGTTGGGAAATCAACAGTCTAATTACATCACAAATAGCGAAGTGTAAACACCTGCTTACAATTCATTCAACTACATTCATTAAATACTTAGCCAATTATGAGCACTAGTCCTTAAAATTATGGAAGGGTTTGATAACAGGCAAATTGAGAATGCTTCATATATGGCAAGTCCAAAATTACAGTCTATAGGATAATCATTAAGTAATTGAAGGAATCCTACACCCTGACTGTGCGTAAAATATAGAACTCATTGCCACATTGAGTGATTGAAACAAAACGCAGAGATGCAATTGAGGACAGGCCACTTGAGGGATAAAGACAAAAGTGGTTATAGGGTTAAATGGAATGTAAGGAGGCTCAGGCAGAGATCCACAGGGATGAATGACAGAATTTATAGATTTAGACCAATCTATTTAAATCTGAAATGATTGCCTAGCCCAAGACGAAGCACACTACAAAGCTCACTTGTGCCACACAGTGACTAGGATTAGTTATTACACGTCGGTTCTGTAACAGTCATTACTTCCAGACCACACAACAAACTAGCCCTGGCTTATCTAAAATAACCAACAAGGAAGCTACACTCAAAATGGTGAGTCCTGAAAAGCATATCAATGAAGGTTCAAACAGCTACCTGAAGTTGACAATTGGTTGCCAAGAAAGATCACATCTGCAATCAATCTGTGGTCCTCTCCACACAAATCCTCTAAAGGCACACGATCAGCATGTGATTTTATTTTAAAAATCACACCGTTTGGACACCTCCATGGCCACACATTCCAAAGTGGGTCTTGGACCTGGGCCTTCTGGTGCAGAGGAAGGGTCACTTCCACTGTGCCTCAAAACCTTTTGTCTGGCACTGGAAAAGTTATTTTTAACCAACCCTGTTTGGACATGTTATGATACAGCTCCACGGCAGGCAGGCTTGAAACTGAACCTTTTGCTTCAGAGGTAAGGACATACCATTGGACCACAAGTACCCTAAATAATTAAGGTAATTCAATCACCACATAGCCCCTGCTGTCCCAATGTACCAGCTAATGACTATAGGCTTCTTCCGCAACCATTTGAAGTTGAGGACCTATGAGTGAAGAATTCATTAAGATCAATCCTAAAACTGAAAAGTGAGAATCAAGATAGCTCCATTGGCTAAAAACTGTGTTAAACTTAAAAAGTGAAGTGGGGAGTGCAACAGGAGCTTTTATTTTATTATAACACTGGCTTTTGCACATCTGCCTTCAGTTAAGATTGCATAAACCTCACACGCACATACATGTTTAAATCCTTACTCACCGCTTCAGTGTGAATTGGATGAACCGCAAAAAGCAAAGAAGCAATCAGACTGGATTTCCTGTCCAGGAACAAATGGCATACTTTGAGATAGATTACGCAGACCACTGCATGCAGGACAAGATTCAAGAGGTGGTAGAAAGCAGAATTCAGTTCACTGAAAAGGTAGTTTAATCGAAATGTGAGCACAGTGAGTGGTCGATAGGATTTGTGGCTCCTTTCCTGTGTGGGGAGAAACGTCTCTTTTAGAACAACTTAAAAACCTACGTATGAGTGTCACCAGATTAAAAAAAACTTATTTCTCAATTTACAAATAGATTTAAAAGCAGTGTTGAATAACCAAGATCTACCGACAAAGTATAAAGCAATCAGGTCATTCAAATCAGATTATTCTGTGTGGACCAATATTCAGCCTAATCAGCAATAATTTTTGTGTGAATTGGGATTTTAGCTTTGTCATTAAATTCTTCTGTCGAAATTATCCAATGCCACCTGATGTATTAAACATCTTTTCTTTGAATGGTACCAAAGGATCATTTACATCCACCATTAGTGTCTCAGTCTGAAAGGGAGCACCGCCAGCAGTGCAGCTTTCCCTCAATTGCGTGCTGGAGTCTTAAGGTTTGGTTCTGGTGCACAATAGGATTCTAATCCACAAACTCCTGACTCACGGGTAAGAATTTTACTGTCTAAGCCAAAGCTGATACCTATTGCGTAAAGGGCAGATCGCTACTTACTTGTGGTTTAAATCCAATAAAATCAAAAGGAAATAATTGTTTAGAATATAAACAAGGTAATGAAGTGTTCAGTTTGTAAAAAGCCTCAGGATGCTGGATTTCTGATTGCCACACAATAGGAGGGAAATGACTGCAGAGGAGATTCACCTGGATGTTACCTGGGCTAAAGCTTTTCAGCTATGAAGAGACACTAGATAGGCTGGGATTGCTTTCCTTAGAGCAGAGAAGGCTAGGTGAGGGCCTGATTGCGATGTACAAAATTATGAGGACATAGACAGAGTAGATAGGAAGAAACTTTTCCCCTCAGTTGAGGGCTCAACAACCAGAGGCATAATTTTAAGATAAAATGCAGGGGAGATTTAAATAAGTTTTTTTTCACTGGGATGGTGGGTTTCTGGAACTCACTGGCTGGAAAAGTAGTAGAGGCAGGAACTATGACAATATTTAAGTAGTATTTAAAGGACCACTTGAAGTGCCGTGGTATACAAGGCTACAGGACAAGTGCTGGAAAGTGGAGTTGGATAGATACATGCTTGACAAGCAGCATGAACTTGACAGGCCGAAGTGCCTCTTTTGTGCTAGAAAACCTTCTGACAATATCCTTACCCTTACATTTTAGGGAGGATCTGAAAATAGTGGCTAAGAGACAAAATTAGTTGACAAGGGTTTCATTAAAGATGGGACTTAAAGCTATGAAGCGAAGCTTGAGAAGTTATGGGTGGCAAGGAATGGCCTGATAAAAATCTTCATGGTTTTGAAGTGTATGTAGTAAACTGTATTAGATTAAGAGGAAAGATTATTAAACAATAGTAGATTAGTAAACAGTAACAGATTATTTACATTGGAGGAGGCACAACATTAGCACAACAGGAGAAGAGTGAGGAAAATGGGAAAAAAAAAGTTCCTTCAGACAGAAAGCAGTTAGTTACATTTTGGAATCTTGTGAACACTTTTTTCACAAATGGTACATTTCAGTTGGAAGACGCTGGGCAGAGGAACCAAGGGATCTGAGAGTGAAAGTACATCAATTACTAAAAGTTAGACCAGAGGTGAGCAAGGACAGTAAAAAGCAAACCAAAACAAGGCTTCATATCCAGAGGGTTAGAATGAAAAGTCAGGAGATATTTAGAAAACTATAGTGAACCTTGGGTTAGACTGCATTGTATGCAGTTCTGCTTGTATTGTTATGAAAAGGATTAGAGACATTTGAATACAGAAAGAAAATTTACAAGGACAATAGCAGAAATGAGTGGAAACAAACGTCAGGAAAGGTTTGACAGGCTAGGTTTCTTTCTTCTTCTTGAAAACAAAAGAGTCAGGTCTGCTTCACCATTCAATAAGTTCATGGTTGATTCGATTGTGCCCTTAAGTGTGCTTTTCTGCCCACACCTATTACTCTCAACTCACTTGTCAAAGATTCGACTACCTCAGCCTCAAATATAATCAAAGATCCAGTCCTCTCTTGTTGGCTGGGGGAGAGAATTCCTGGCTTAATCTGAGATGCAGAGGATCTTGGTGTCTTACTGCATGAATCGCTTAGTACGCAAGCACAGCGAGTAATTTAAAAAAAGGCCAATGTCCTTGTTTATGGCAAGGGGAAGTGAATACAAAGGAAGGAAGGCATCAGTTAAACAGATATCAGTATGACCACATATCAAGTATAATGTACATTATTGGCCTTCTCACGTATAGAAAGATGTAACTGCACTGGGATCAGATCAGACAAAGATTTACAAGATTCCGGAATTGGAGAGTTTTCCAGTGAGGAAATGCTGAACAGACTAGGCATGTATCAGTTTAGAAAAGGAAGAGGAGGTGACTCGATTGAAACATACAACATCCGACGGGTCTTGACTGGGAGCATGTGGAAAGGATGCATCCCTCTTGAGGGCAAATCTAGAACTAGGGAGCATCATATGAAAACATGGGGTTGCACATTTAAAGCAGAGATGAGGAGACCTGTTTTTCTCAAAAGGTCATGAGTCATTGAAACTCTCTTCTTTGAAAGGCAGTGAAAGCAAAGTCTGATTTTTTTTTGGGTGTAGGATGATGGATTCTTGAGAAGTAAAGAGATGAACAGTTATCGGGGTAGTAAGGAACGTGCACTCGTTGGATCTGCCATGATTTTATCAATTGGTGGAGAAGGCTCACATGACTAGTGGCTGAATGAAAGAAATCAGGAATGTGTAGCAGGCAGGAATGGGAAGAGCACAGATCACGAAGGGTTGGAGGAGATTACAGGAATAGAAAGGGTCAAGGCCAAGGAGGGACTTGACCAAAGGATATGGATTTTAAATTCATAGTGTTGCCAAAAGGGGAAGCAAGGCAGTTCTGTGAGAAGTAGTGGCAGAAGAATGGAAGGTGATGTGAATGAGCTGAGTTTTGCATCAGTTCAGGTTTATGAGGTGCAGAAGATAGGAGAATGGCCAGGAAAGCACTGGATGAAAACCTGCCGATTGTTTTGTACATGCAACAATCTATAGGAATTCCAGATGATTTTGAAAGAAAATAAAAATAGAAGCTGGAATTGGATAATTAAGCCTGTTCTTTCATTCAAGTCGGATCTTTTCCACAAACCGCAATTCCATGAGAGTAGGACCAGATATGGTTATCATCAAATATTGACTATATATCTACATATCATTGTTTAACATCTATATTGTTCAAGTTTTAAATCAACTTTAAAATCATTTTTAAAAATTAAGCGCAAATATGACATTGAAATGCGAGATTTTGAGATAACAGCAGAAATGGCATTACCTCATTCATAGGAGTTCCCCAGAAGTCATTGTGGAATAAGTTCTTTAAAGGTGTTGAAGGATGCAAATCTTTGTTATCCAGAATGGCAGAGACGTCATCAAAAACAAACCCACAATTCGTGCTGTTCCAGTAACAAATGGCCACTACCGCTGTCAACAAAACTACCTCCTTCCAGCTCAACTCAGCCATCCTCACAGGCTGCTGTAGAAAATTAAAACAATATTTTAAAAACACTTTGTTTTCATCTCCTTTACGAAATAAACTAAGCAAACCCACAACATAAAGCCTTGCTAATTTTGTTTCTGGTTTGAATAGAAACTCAACAGGACTAGTGTGATAAACACTGTGACTACAGAAGTGTCACCTGTTGGGAACTCTGTGAAAAGTTACTCACCTCCTGGCTATGAAAAGCTATCTGCTACTTACAAGGCACAAGTTAGGAGTGTGATGGTATATCTTCCACTTGCTGACAGCTACCAGTTGCAACAACACTCAAGAAGTACAACACCATTCTGTACAAAGCAGACCACTTGATTAGCATTGCATCACCACCACTGGAGCACTGTATACTGTCTACAATCAACTCAAACTTTAACAGCATTTTCTATGACCTCTACCACCTGAAAGAACAAGACAGAAGGTGCTGGGAACATCTTGTAGTTTCCCTTCAGGTCTCACCATGCTGATCTGGAACTATACCATAATTCCTGATATACGGTTGAATCAAAATCTGGGAACTCATTCCCTAACAGTACTATGGGCCTACGTACTCTATATGGTCTACAGACAGTTAAAGCAGGAAGATCAGCACTTTCAACTTCAAGGGCAACTAGGGATGGCAGCAAATGCTGGCCTTATTTACCAGCAATGCCCTCATCTGAGAAATTAATACAAAAAGGTATCTATTGCTTCTTATTCTACACTGAACTAATCATCCCACATCTTTGTTTGAGCAGAACTTAGATCTAAGCAGAAATTGTCTACCAAAAATCACTGCAAGCTGATAGAAGATGGTAGGGAAGGGACTCCTGCTGTTCTAAAATGGAGGTTCCCTTTTAATGCAGGTCGCCACAACAGACTTGTCTTCATTTGTGAACATACTTGGTTTCCTTGGCGAGTGTCCAATGTAACTTGTACGCGCAACAAACTTACATTATTTACGAGCAACCACAATCTCATTAATATGTGCTTGAACCTCCTAAAAATATTTATGTAGGAGATCCAAATCTATGAAGATTTTCTAGAAATATTTTGTACTTTTTTGGTTAAAAATGTGCATATTTCATAATATTATTTAGAACACACTACTCCACACAAAACATACCATCACAGATTGGCTTCAGCTGTTGCAGTACTCTATCAATAAGCTCGTTGAACAATAAGCCAATCCACAACTAAACGTCAGCTTTCCTGCTCTTCTGATGTTGCTTGGCCTGCTATGTTCATCCACCTTTACACCTTGTTATCTCAGATTCTCCAGCATTGGCAGTTCCCACTATCTCTAAATGACACACACAGGTTAGGCTCCCCTGAGTGCACTGCAGGAGGCAGAGACATTGTGGGACCATCACTAGGATTAATCCAGAGGCCCAGGTTATTGCTGTGGGAACACATGTTCAAAATTCACTATGGTGTGGAATTTAACTCTAATTAATAAATCTGAAACAAAAAGCTTGCTTTGATGGTGGTGACTGGGATTATCATCAAATTTTGTAAAACAAGTTTAGGGAAGGAAATTTGCCATCCCTACCCATGCTGGCCTATATGTTACTCCAGCCCCACAGAACTGTGGTTGACTCTTAAGTGGCCTCTGAAATCATCGAGCAAGCCATCAAAGGCAATTGGGAATGGGCAACAAACGCTCGTCTTCACAGTAGTGCCTACATCCCATGATGTTTGTTGCTCTCCTACCAGCACCAACACCCCGACAGCTCTCATATAAGATCAATAATTAATTAAACTGGTCAGACTATCAATGGCCTAGAACAATCCTCATTCTGAGCAGACGATGGAGTGTAACAGTGCAAATGATCTGGCTAAACATAATCAAGAGGATATCCTGTACCTGTAATAATTCTATCCTTTAAACAGATGATCTGGTTGTTTTCACACTGATGTTTGTGGGACCTTAACTCTCACCATTGCCCATTGACCATTCCATCACACAGCTGGACAATTCATGTTCTACTCCTCCATAAACTCTGCTTCCTTAACCCTAACCCTAACATGCACCAAGTTCCATTCACCCATCACCCTTCTGCTCAATGATTTACACTGGTTTGTCTCTAACTCCCTCCATGGCCTCAGCCCTATTAGCCTTTAGATTCACGCACATCCTCAATATCCATTGCTCTATGAAATCAAAACACATGTATGCTATTAGTCTGAAATAAGACAAAACAAAAGTTGTAAAACCTCAGCAACTCTGGCAGCATCCTGCAGAGAAACAGAGTTAGTGACTCTGGATCTATGACACAGAATCAGAATCATTGTTTGACCAACATGGCCATGCCTTCTGCCACTGGGCTGTTGGCCCCAAAATTCACTCCCTTACCTTTGCTTTGATTCAAAATGCCCTTTGTCAAAAACTTTGGTTACCTGCCCTAACACCACCATAGGTCCAGGGTCAAATTTTGTTTTAATGTGAAGCAACTTGAAATGTTGCACTACACTAAAGGTTTCATATAAATGCAAGTTGTTTTGGTTGTATTACAGACTGTCACCATTGCTGACTCCAATGTTTTATTGACTAAATTTGAATTCATGAACTTTCATGGTGGGATTTGAACTATATCTCTGAATCATTAGCCCAGATCTCCAGGCTATTACAACCAAAAAACAGCGAGCTGGAAATGCTTGAAATTTGGTACACAAACAGAGAGCGCTGAAGAAACTAAGCTGGTTTGGCAGCATCCAATGCAGAGTCACTGCACTCGAAACGTTAACTCCACTTCTCTCTCTACAGATGCTGCCAGCCCTGCTGAGCTTCTCTGGCACTTTGTTTGTTCTCTTGATCATTAGTCCAGTTATGATACTATAGCAATAGCTTAATGCTGTTTCTGTAAGCTGGTTTACCAAATTATACAATTAAGTTGTAATTTTAATTAATATACAGTGAGATCCTTTAGCTGATATTGTAAAAATTCACACGTGATGAATAGGCGAATCCTGACAGCCTATCCTCCTATTCCTGTTTTTGCTATCCATGTTCCTACTCGTACTAAAGTCCTAATCACGTGTTACCCCTGGGCTTGCTGAACTCTAAGCTCTTAATTAATCAACATCCTAGTATTAAAGTTTCCATTTCAGTTTTCAAATTTCCCTCCAGCCCCATAACTTCCCCAAGCCCTTCACAATATTCATGTACCTACAACTCTGGCCCTTCAACATCCTTAACTTTAAATGGCCCTCATTAGCAGTCACACCTTCAGCTGCTAAGGCCCCATGTTTTTGAATCCCTACAGTGCTCTCTCAAAACATTTCTTCAAATCTACATCCTTGAACAAGCTTTCTATCATCTCCTAATACCTCCAAGAGCTTGATGTTAAATTTGGCTTGATAATCCTGTGAATCACCTTGAGATGTTTTATTACATCAAACAGTTATAGAAATAATGTGTTGTTCTTGCTTCCTCTCCATGCACTTTATGCAGTGCATCATTCCAACATACAAAATTAGGAGGAGTGGACTACTCAACACCTAGAGTGGGCTCTGCTCACAGCTCATTCAGTTACTCTACATTCCCATTTACACTGATAGTATTTCACATCCTTGATCATCAAAAATCTATCCACTTCTACCTCAAAAATAGTCAAAAGACTCAACACCCATTTTAAGGTAGAGTTCCAAATACTTTCAACCCTTTGTGAGAAAATATTTCTAACTATCTCAAATGCATGACTTTTTAAATCTTTAAACAGTGCCCCCAATTTCACAAACAAGAAGAAACATCCTCTCCAGATGCACTATGTCAAGACCTCTCAGGAGTTTATATATTTAAGTCAAGTCACCTCTTACTTTTCTAAACTCCAGCAGATACAATCTTAGCCTGTTCAACTTTTCATCATAATACAAGCTTGCCTATTTCTGAAGGCAGATAAATGACAACCACATTGTTGTTGTTCTGGAGGCACATGCAGACCAAAGCTGGTCAGGAAAGCAGATTTCCTTCTCAAAGGATAATAGTGAAACAGATGGAACTTTATAGCAATCAGTGTTAGTTTTGAGGCCATCATTACTGAGACGTTTTATATTACAGACTTAAAGTTGAATTTAAATTCCATTAACAGCCAGGATTTGAATCCACGCCCCCCAGAGCATTCATCTGGATTTCTGAGTTACAGATTGAGTGATCTTAACAGCTCATCGCCACCAAGTTTCTAACAGGACTTGAACCCATAAACTTCCTAGTCATACACAAAAATGCTACTCACTAAGCCACAGTTGATGCTGAAAATAGATGTACCCTTAGAACTATAGATGTTCCTTTCTCAGTGGAGCAGAATTTAACTGATCAAACATCAGCAAGTTCAACTGTGAAATCATCAAGCTGCACAGTCAAAGCACATTAAGCTTTAAGCTCCAGTGTCTCACTTTGTAACAATTAATAAACATCCTCTGTCTCAGCATTGCACTGTGTTTTTCAGGCTGTGACAAGCTCAACTCTTTCAGAGGTTGCTCAAACATCTGTTTTCCTTGTCTATACATATTCCAGCAACTGTTTCCTGAAGTCATCTTCAGGAACACTGGAGCATCCCAGCAACACTTGCTAAGTAAAAGGAAACCAAATGCACTGCACTCAGTAACGCAGACCATACAAATGACAACACTGTTGCAGACTTATTACAATTTGAGACTGGTTTGTGATAACTATGTTCTTTTTCACATTCAGCTGTTTAATTCTCTCTTTGTAACTTGCTACTCCAGAGTCCTGTCAAAGTAAGTCAGTTTATAAAATAAAAGGAACATCGCAGAACACAATAAGTCAGGGCTAGAGTAGCCTTGAAGCCTTTGAGTCCTGGCTCTGCTTTTCAACAAGATCATGACTAATCTTCCATATCAATTCTACTTACTGAGACTATCTCCTTATCCCTTTGTGCCAAAAATTCTATTTACCTCTGTTTTTAACTTACTCACTGACTAAGCATCCACAACTCTCTCAAGTACAGAATTCAAAATACACCCTCCGAGTGCAGAAACCTCTCATCACAGATCTAAATAATTAACTCCTTACCTCAAGATCAAGACCCCCATACTCTGAATTGCCTAGCTAGGGGAAACATTTTCTTCACATTTACCCTGTCAAACACAATTTTATATATCCTAAAGAGATTTTTATTTTACTTTTTCAAGTGACAAGGACTTTGCTGACATGCCAGCATTTGCTCTCTTTGAGAAAGTGGTGGTGAGTCGCCTCATTAAATTGCTGCATTCCATCTGATGAAGTGACACCCAGTGTTATAAAGGAAAGAAATTCCTGGATTTTGACCTGAAGTCAAGGAATGTCATTAACAGTTCTAAATCAGGATAGTCTGTGCCTTGAAGGGGAACCTGCATCTTTCATTATTCTAAATTCCAGGGAACATAAAACCTAATCTACTCAAACTCTACTCACAGGACAATATTTGTTTTACAGTTGGCATATCCATGCCAGACTTGTGTGAACTGCCTTAAGGTTTAGTTTCTGGGCATTCAGTCCAGTCCCCTGAGTAACCAGTTATCCTATATTACAAAGGAGTGTCTCTTTTTGACTGCCCCACACACTTTAAGGGAGACTTTTAACTGTTATTTTTAAGCACAACCTGCGAAAGACCGAGACCCCGCTAAGGTTACCAGCTCCGACTTGCCCTCAGTCAAGCACTACCTATTTTATCCCGTAACAGTTGGTCACCATTGTCTAGTCTGTGATCTCTCCCTGAAGTTTCATCTCCCTCGCCTTGTCATGCTGCCCCTCAGTCCACTGGAGCCTCGTTACTTACTCGTCAAAATCAGGATGATCAATCCTATGAAACAAAATGAGACACACTTCGAATAGGGAGTGGGTTTTGGTCAGGGAGAGAGGGGACTTGAAGACAGTATGTGAGTAGTTTCAACAGGACTGGGTTGAGAGGTTTTAGCACTATTACTTCCATGTTATTCAGGCTATTAAGTCAACTAAAACTTCTCTTGTTGAGTCACAACATGATCATCCTTCCAGCTGCTTGCCATTTCAACAATTTACCCTGCTCCCAGGCTAACATTATATGCTGGGGCTGCGACAGTGCTCCAATGAAGCTCAATACAACTTGGAAGTGCACCATCTCATTTTCCCTTGAAGCACAGCCTCTAGGAATCAATATTGTGCTCCATAACTTCAGGGTCCTCCATTTTTCTTACATCCCCAACATTTCTTGCTGGCTTTGCTCTTAGCAGTTTTGACCCATTTTCTCTTTTCCACAGCAAACATTTACACCTATTTCGCATCGCTGTATCACCTTTACCACCATTATCACTCCCTTTGTCTTCTGAGTTCTGAAGAAAGGTCACTGGACTCAGAACATTGTCCAATTTCTCTCCACAGATGCTG